TTACAACTCGAAGTGTCTGTTAACTTAACATAATGACAGCACATCGCTGCAGCTGCGTGCGTTAGAGCGAGACAAGCAGTGTGTTGGGTGTGCGCACTGCCTAGGGCGCCAAATTTGAATTGAGAGTTTTCTTAGAACTTTTTATATGAACTTGAAGCACATTTTTAAGAAATGAATAGATTGTTTGCTACGCACTCTATTGTTTTTTCTTTTTTTTTATAATAATATTAGTTAGTTTAAATTTTTTGTTTTTCTTTTTTGTACCGATAAGACATCGTGCAGAGCAAATGCTTCAAGTTCATATGTTTGTAAGCACTAAAAAAATGTGATAAGGCATTTTGGGTATATTCGGGAGCAAATCGAACAGCTGCCAGAGCCAAAAATAAATAGTAGTCGCACGCACTATAAAACAAACAAAATTTATGCACTACACCCGCATGACCTTGGCATTCGAGCCATAAAGCTGGCACAGAGACGAGTCTACGAATCTCAAGAAGAAATGATATATAAAATACAAAATATAAAATATAACAGAACATTGAACACGTTTCTCTACAATATATTTATATATATATTTATCTTTATCAAAAAGTTGAACATTTTGTGTTAGCTGTGAGCAATGTGCCACAATTTGAGACTTGGCTTAAGTCGAAGGCCTCTGGCAGAACAAGAAGATGCCGATGACAATGATAATGATGTTAATGATAATGATAATGAGCAGAAATTTTTCTCAGGCAAACGAATGAAATGAATATGAAATATGCATTCATGACCCGCATTAGAAGTCAGCATTGAAATTCAGTTGGAAATTTTTAACGGTTTTAATGTGAACCAAAGTGCACAGAGTTCTGTTTGTTGCTGTCTTCAATACCCTGTAATTTTAAGGCAGCTCACGTGCAGGGTCAAAAAAATCTTGTTTATACAAAGCAAATTAAAAGAACTGTAGAAAAGATATATGAAGTTGTTTATGTAGTTGCTGATATACCCTGTAAATATCAAAATACTAACATAGGGCATGATTTTCTATATGGTAAATACTTAAATTTTAATATAATTCACTTCAGTTGAAAATTTCTCAAGAAAATCTATTTTACAGGGTTTTTTTCCTGAATTATTATACAGATAAATATTATGTAATTTTTGAACATTACAGGGTATTTATGATGTGTTAAAGAAACGACGGGGTAATTATCATATGTGTTAAAGAAACGACGTTCACTAATGTAAATTACAGGGTATCTATGTGTGGTATAGTGAAGTATATGTAAAACTTATACAAGAGAGAATATTCTAGGGTATTTATTTGTTTACACCAAACCAATATCTATGATTAATATGCAAGTGGAAGGAAAGGGAAAAGCATTCGATTCAGATTTCTATTTGATTCCAACAAATTACAGGGTAGCTGTCTACGTATTGCCTTTAGAACAAAGTAGAAGATAAAACAGATTCTTAGAGATTTTTTCTAACATTAAATACATCAAACAAAGTTACAGCCTGTTATAGGGTATCTTAGAGTCAAGCACTGCCCAATGTAGTCCGTCTGTATTTGTTGTTATTGTTTTTTATGTCTCCGGCAGACAGGCGGCAATCAACAACGTAGCCAACGAAGCAGCAACATGGTAAACAACAGAGGAAAACCCCAAAATGAGCAAAAGGGAAGCAACATAGTGGGAGAGACTGGGGCAGGGGCGTGGCAGGGTGCGGAGGCGCTCACAGTTGGCCCTGAAGGGGAAGACGACGTCAACGTCAAAGCCACGAAAATAAAAAGAGTTGCAGTTGTTAGACACGAGGAAAGAGCAGAAGAAAAAGCAGCGAAAGAGAAGAAAAATAGTTTTAAAGTTGCTTTGTTTTATGCAGGTGCAAAAAAGGTGTGGGGGAGGTAGGGAGAGGGGTAGAGAGAGAGCGAGAGGGAGGTAGGGCTGGGGGCAAAGGGTGTCAAATTAAAAAGTCACAATTGAGCGAAGTTCCGAACGCTGGCCAGAAGAAGACTTGGCTAGAGAGAGAGGGGGAGTGGAAGAGGGAGTGGGAGAGAGGGAGAGGCATGTAGAAGGCCAGACATGCAACAAGCGGAAAATAATTATAAATTTGAGAAGAGGGGGCGGGAGAAGAGAAAGAATAGTTGACAGCTAAATCAAGATTGTGTGCAAGAGAGAGCGAGACAGGGAGAGAGCGAGATAGCAACAAGCTTAGATCATATGCAAAAGTTTTTCATATCTTGCTGCCAGCATCTGCGCAGGGGGAGAAACGTGTGTGGGTTGCACTCGAGATAAACATCGCACATTTTGTGGCTTAGAAGCAAGAGTGAGCATGTGTGTGTGTGTGCGTGTGCGTGTGTGTGCACTGTGGGAGTATGTTGCTATGTTGCCGAAGAGACAGAGAGACTGACAGAACCAGCTACAACTGTGAAGAGGACGTCGTTGCGGCTGACGACCAAGGCAATTAACAACTTCAACGTTCGTTGCAATTGCGCCTGGGAGTTGCAAGCCAAAACCCCCTTAAGCCCCCCTTTCATCTCTACACCCATGTGCATAATAGCAAAAGTTGTGGCTGCTGTTGGCAGACAAATAGCAAACGGCTCATTGAAATAGCTAGAGAAAAGGTGGAGCCTATGCGGGGGCCACAGGGCTGGGGGCAGCTTCTTCTAATGTGCCACTCTGCTGGGGCACAGGCTACAGCAGCGTGAAAAATATGCAAGAAAAAGCAGCCGCAAAAACCAAAATAAAATGTTTAAAGATACATTTTTTCTCTTAATAAGCATAGAGAGAGAGCGGGCGGTGGGGGCGTGGCTGAGGGCAGAATAACAAACAGTGGCATAAATTTTCGCGGCTTTGCGGACAAACGCAAGCCCAAAGACAATGGCTAACGGCTGCAAGCGCAAAAAAAGATACAAAGATACAAATGTATCTGACGGTACGTATGCACATATAAAGTAGAGATACTTTTTTTTGGGCGCCTTAATTAGGCAGCAGGCCAAACAAATGGTAATGAAATGCAGAGCAAAGTGGGCGTAGTGGGATGGAGGCTGCATGAGAGTGAGCGAGAGAGGGAGAGAAAGGCGCTAAGGCGCATGAAACAATGCGGCAAATGCTAAAGCGAAAGGTAAAAGGACGCACAAAGAATGGGAAAAACAAAGAGATAGAGAGAAAGAGAAGGAGAGCGCACAGTGAACAGTTTTAGCAGCGCTGGTCATTCGCCAATTGCCTCGCAACTGCAGCCTAAATTCAATTTGGCGACTCGAGCAAACAGTTTGGCAAAGTGAGCAACAAAAGGAGAGGGCGGCTGTGTTAGGGGTGGCTGCTGCAAGGACCTACTTCAAAATTCAACCTAGTTTGGCTTAGCTCAGCTTCCAGACGGCGTGCACGTCGACCCGCATATAAGTTTGAAAAGGCAAAGTCTTCGGGAAGACAACGCTGAGGACTGAGGTGGCAGCCAGCGTGTGGCAGACTCGAGTGCAAACACATGAAAGGCTCGCAAGAAAGGAGCATGCGGCTGCTGCAGCAGTTGAGCATCCTTTGATGGAAAAGTTTGCAACAAAATTTCTTGCGAAAACTAAATTAAAATGTGAAAAGATGCGAGAACAACTGAAGAGAGAGAGATGAAGCGGAATGGCACAAAGGGTTAGAGCTTGCCTCGAGAAAGGGCTTCAGCAACTGTTAGTCGTGCTGTGTTGAGCAGTGTAAACAGCGGTTTAATTATTTAGTGGATTACGCTAAATTAGTGCCCAAATGAGTTGGCAACAGAAGCGGTTGACAAGGGATAATGTTAAGTGGGGGAGAGAAAGGCAGAAGGAGAGACTAGAATCGTTAACATTAATATAATTCACTTAACTTTATAATTTAATTAAATAATTTGAAGACTTTTTAAACTGAAAACTTAAAATGCAATACAAAAACATTTATTTTTCGTTTTTAATCATTTTTTTATATTTAAATAAGTGAAGACTCTTTATTTATTTTTACAATAAAAGTAAGTATTAATTCTTTTTTTCGATTTTATTGACTATTCTAATATTTTATAGTAATAATTATTTATTATTTTCGTATTAGTCACTTTATTCACAATTAATTATATTCAAATTGAAATTTAAATATACCGCCATTTTAGCTGCGCCACCTTGCGTTAAACTAGCGCTCTACTGAGCATGCGCTAGATTTTCTATATTCAACGCTAGGTGACGCCACTGCGCTGCGCACTCTAGCGACAGCTTTGTGTACTAAACTGTTCCCTGGGAACAGCTCAAATCAGTATCTACGATAGCTGGCGCTATTGTGCAAAGCGACATCTAGCTTGAACAAAACGAACTTTATAGCTCTAGCGAGCGCTTTCCGCAACTACTTGCTACAACTGTACCCAACCGCCAGCCAATCGCCTTCGCCTTCGCCTTCGCCTTTGACTCGACTCGTCAAATTGCAAGAGGCGCAACGAATTTGAATATTTGCTGAATTAAAAAAAATGTAAATACACAAAGAGCCCAAAGGCCACACCTAGCAGCAGCTGCTGCCAAACGCAGCTGAAAGTGTGTAATAAATAAAAAAGTGATTGAAAGAATTGGCCAAAAACGAAAAGTGGAACGTAATCCCTGGCATGTCATATAGCTGTATGGATGGCCAATAAAACTTCAGCCAGCAACACAGACGCGCAGATTATGTCAAATTATATAGGAAAAAAAGTGTACAAGGTGCGGTTCAGCACTGTGCAAGTCGTTGGGCCCACATTGTTGGCAGCATTGTCATTTATGGTCATTTGTTGTTGTTGCTGTTGTTGTTGTTGTGTCATTTGCCCGTTTATGACAATCTACCCTAACACACAGAGCAATAAAAATGTTAAATGCAACTGGGATTTTTATGGGTCAAATGGGGCCAGGCAGGCTCTAAGTTAGATTAGTGGAGCAGCCGTGCCATATGGCCAGGCGCAAGGCACAGTCACTTGTGTGAGGTCAGTAACCCAAACAGAGACACGGATGGATAGAGAGTGGTTTCTGTCTCTGTCGCACTTACCTGTGAAAAGTACGCTGGTAAAACGCAGCGCTGGTCATCTAGCCGGGAGCACTGCACCCGCTCCAGCAGCTCGAAGAGATCCTGTGTGGCGCCGCGCAAGCGTTCCGGACTGTGGGTAACGCTACCGCCGCCTGTGCCGGCTGAGCCGGGCTGTTGCTTCTGTGTGCCCGCCATAAAGGCATGCTGACGTCTGCAAAGACAGAGAGAGAGAGAGAGAGAGATGAGTAAGAGGCAAGAGACAACAGGAAACTGTTTAATAATAGTGCACGCAAAAAGCTAATCACAAACTTGGCTAGCGTGTGCCCAGCCAAGCCAAGCCAAGCAGACGTCAAGCACTTGGCCATGTCACAGCTGAGCTTGAGGTAGACCAGAAACACGACCTGGCCAAGTCAAGCCAACCCGAGCCAAGCCACAACATGCAATCTGTTCATGCTTCAGCGCCAAGAACAATTCCAACAATCTTCAATTGACTGCGCAAACTCAAGTGGAGGGCAAATCTGCTCGCCTTCCCTCCTCACCTGGATTGGCACTTTCAGGGTTTACCTAGTGGTAAGTGGGCACTAGAGCAGTCACTGGCAAGGAGTCTAACCAAGTGATCACCATCAAACGGGCAAAAGGGTTCAGCTACAAACTGAACTCGAGTGGGCAGTGAAGAAAGATTCAATAGAGAAACAGCAAATTGACAGCTATAGAAAGTCAAGCAGAACGTTTAAGAAACGTAAGGAAAAGCGAAAGAACGAAAAGAGGGAAGAAAGCTGTAGAGACTTACAGCGACAAAAGCAAAGATTGCACAGGCAACACGAAGTCATAAGAGAAAAAACTATAAAAAATGCATTAAAATAGTCGTAAATTAATGAATAAAAGGGCACAGTAAAAAGGTAGAAACGCATTTTTTTAATTACTACAAAAATTGTAAAAAGATTTTATCAAAATGGAACTACATACAAATTTAATTTTATTAGAAATTTAAGTGTAAAAAAGTATTGAAACTAAAATTAAAATTAGATATGAAATATATTTGCAAATATTTTTTTTTATAAATTATTAATAGTTATTATTATTAAACTATTATTAAAAACTAATTATAATTATAAAAACGAATAAGAATACTTTAATTTTTTCATTGTTAATAATAATACAAAATTATCTAACTAAAGCTAAAGTATGAATAAATATAGTTAAAAATAATTTAATGATAATAAATATTATTAAATAATAAATAATAACAATAAAAGTAATAAATAGTAAGTATAATTATAAAAATAATAAAAACAAAAATGAATATATAAATAATAATAAATATTATAATTAATAAATAATAAAAAGAAGAATAACAAAAATCTACAATTAAAAAAAAACTCATCCTGAAATAATTTTTATTATTTACTTTAAGGACTTGCAACCCGAAAGAATCCAGCAGTGGAAGCACAGCAATAATTTACTGAATTTCACTCAAATAAAGGCTCAACTCGAATGAAAAGCAAAAGAAAACATATTAAGAAAAACAAATATTTCGATCAACATTTCAGTATACATAACACAATAACAAAACACACTTAATAATATTATACAATTCTATACTGAGCTCAGAACTCTCGATCATTGGAAAAGTCTCGCATGAACAATTGCAATCAAAGCTGAAGGATTCTTAATCTAGCTACTTCAGCTGCGATGCTCGACAGTCAAGAGCTGTTGAAGGATAACTTTTGGGTTGTATTTCGTAGAGCTAAGTGCCATATTTCTCGGGTACTTAAGAGTTGCGCTCACGCATCAGAGAATGCAACAGAATTATGAGTGCCACTTGAATATTTCATATTTCTTATTTCAAATTTCTTATTTCAGATTTTTATATTATGTATTTTTGTATTTCTTTATTTCTTTGCTGTTTTTCATTTCTTTTTCATGTGTATTGTCACTTGCTTGAGTGTGTATGTGTGTGTGTGTGTGTGAGTTCATATTTTCGGTTGTTTTTTCTCTCTTTTTTTTTGGGTTTTGCCTAAAGTTTTGTCGCAGCAGCCGCGACTTTGTTGACACAGAAACAACAGACGCCTCGCTGGCAGTACACAGGAGACATACAGGAGATACAGAGTCAAAGAGAGGAGAGAGATGAGTAGTAAGGTACTCTGTGGGGGCCTCAGCTGGCCAAAGGAGCCAACCATGTCGAGGATGTTGTTGGCTGCTCTGTTCCTGTTGTTGTTTACTTTGTTGTTGCTGTTTCGTGTGTGCAGCTGCTGTTGCTCCACATTCTCAAAAGACAATAAAAACAACAAAAATTGCTGTTGTTGCTGTTATTTTTAAACAATTTGTTGCTGCTGTGCGAGTGCTCTAGAGTCCTGGCAAGTTCTGCCTGCTGCCTGCTGCCACTGCCCCTGCCGCTGCTGCTGGCCATAAATTAACACCTACACACAAAGTGGAGCACACATAAAAACGTTGACAGTTATGGGAAAAGGATATCAGAAACAGGACAACAAACGACAGGACTCGCAGCCATGTGCATCATCCAGCTCCGATCATCACAGCAACAGCAACAATAACAACGAACACGAACTACGAGTGTTGATAGTTTTAAAGTAGCATAGCTAACCCATTGCTCGAGTAACATGAGCGGAGTTTTGAACTGGAACTAGCTAGGGGCGTGCTGCAACAGCTGTCTGTCTTAGAGATAGAGAGAGAGAGAGAGAGAGAGAGAGAGGGAGAGAGAGAGAGAGAGAGAGAGAGACAGAGCAGCTATGATGGGTGTACGAGTTTGTGTAATGTGTAGATAGTTAATCGAATGAGATATATAGTTAATATGTTAAGAAGTTAAGGTTCTGAAGATGGAAGATGGAAGAAGGAAGATAGAAGATAGAAGATAGAAGATAGAAGATAGAAGATAGAAGATAGAAGATAGAAGATAGAAGATAGAAGATAGAAGATAGAAGATAGAAGATAGAAGATAGAAGATAGAAGATAGAAGATAGAAGATAGAAGATGGAAGATAGAAGATGGAAGATGGAAAATGATAGATGAAAGATGAAAGATAAAAGATGGAACATCTACCAAAGTTTTACTCAGATTTAAGAAGTATGTAGCAGTAGAAAGAGGACTTCTGTGAGGAGTGCTTGACTTAAAAATACTCTGCCTAAGCTCAACTTTAATTAAGCGAACTTCAACGTACGTCAAAAAACATATCATCACACAAAAAGCCATACTTAATCAAGATATCCTAATACTATCCTCCTTAATACAAATCGGACTCTTAGTTTTAAATAAAAAATCCTAATTTAACGCAAGTCCGCTCAAAGCTGACATTCGATAACTGCATTCATAACAATTTCTGGGCTTACACTTAAATTATTTATAGTTTTTGTGAGCAGTAAAACTCGTTGACATTTTGACAAACTGCAATAAAAAAGAAAGAAAGAAATTGTGAACAATTGAAATTCGTTCGAATCGTTTCATATTTCCAGCTTTGTCAAACTTATATATATACTATATATATTTATGGATATATTTTTAGCATTTTTGGTGCAAACATATTTTGGTCTGATCGAATCAGGCATCGAGCAAGCAATTTTTATTGCATTTTTATGACAATTTTTCACATGATTTGCTGAAGCGAAATCGCAAAACGAAATTGAAATAAAAACACATATCGAAAGCAGGACAAACCATAATAAAAATTGTTGCCCTAACAAGCAATAAAAGTCGAAAATGTGTGCGTCGAAGGGAGCGGGCAGCAGCAACTGCTCCAGAGCTACCTTGACTGCAGCGAAGGCAGCTCGTTGTTGTTAGGGTTCATTCTTTTAGAGCTCTGCTGATGATATCGTTGGGTTTGAATGAAATTCTATATATAATAGAACTGTGCCACCCACAAAAAAACAGCAGATGAAGAGGAAGAGAAACACACACTCACGCTCACTTCCTGTTGCGGTTGCGCCTGCGTCTAACTGTGCATCTAGCCATTGTTCAAGGTGTGTGGGGCGGGTGGCACGCCCACTTAATTAAAACCTATTACTAGCACTAATATTTCCTCAGTGTCTTTTGCCACACCATGCGAAAGTGTTCATTAAATGCAAATTTATGTCACCCACCCAAGCGAGGCAACAGGCAAACAGCGCCACCCAAAACCCGTTGCTCCTCCAGCTCCAACTGCCCTCTCGAATTCGCCTCATTTGGCATGCGCGGCGTGTGTTCTAAAAGTTTAGCCGCTGAGCGGAAAATGCAAAAGAAAAACAATTACAAAAACAGAGGGAGAAGCAGCAGAGAGGGGGCGGCAGGTAGATGGGGCCATTGGGGCCGGGGCGTTGACAGTTGGTGCAAAGCGTAAGATATATGAGCTGCTCTGCAGCACTTAATCACAGGCGTATGCGAGTGTTTGGGTTTAGGTTTGTTCTTTTTCTTTTTCTTCTGTTTGTTTTTAGGGTTTCGGGTTTTGATTCAACTTTGCGTGGGAAACAGGAAAAAAAAAAACTGTAAAGAGACAGCGATGAGGCGGGTGTTTTGGCGTTTGATAGGCCTGTCCCCAGGCGCTAATTAGTGAGCAGCAAGTGAGGCAGGCTCAACTGTCTAGTTGCTAGCAATTGCCGGTGAGAAATTACAGGAAATGTCCAACAATAAAGAGTGAGCCAGAAATCAAGTCCCAGAGGACAAAGGACACACACGGCTCACACACAGCTAGAGCTAATGGGTCAAACGACAATCTTTCAGTTGCTCTTTGGAAACTGGAGCGCAAAACTGATAACATCTCACACTCACACACTCAGCCAGGACATGAAAAGGACTGCAGTGCGATGCACTGTGCCGATAACACACAGAGAGAAAGGGAGAGAGTGGAAAACCCGTAACTGGACAGCCGCGAGCCAAGCCCGACACATGAAAAAGGATATGCGAGCAAAAAGTCAAAACCTCAACAGCGAGAGACAGTTTGAGGTCGTTCAGTGCCGACCCCAGGCCATAATTAATAGCATAATTGTAGCAGTGTGTAAAGTCAGCCAGTGGCCAGGATATGTATAAGTTCACGTTATTATTTATAGGAAAACTACGTGAAAATTACAACAGTTTTCCACACATGCATAGTTGAGGCCGAAGAAAGCGCCAGAGAAAGCTGAACGGAAATGGTAAAAAGTAAAGGGATAAGAGGCCAAACAATACAGCGCAGAGGGGAGGGTAGGGAACTATTTTTTAGGGTGGACCCAAGTAGTAGCTGAG